TGCTGGGTACGCTTCGGAAACTCATCGGATGGCTTCTCCTCCGCGGCCAAAGGTGGGTGAAAAAATGGTCTTCGAGCCTGCCATCTGATCTGATCGTGGTTAGCTTCATGATAATGGTGATAGGGGGATACGTCGAAGGATAAAGACGATACAGACCGCGAAAGCGATTGGGAATCCTCATCGAAGTGAGGAACTTGTTACTCAATCTCGGCTCTGCAGACTCTACAGTGAGAGCTGGAGGTTCGTAGGGGACGCCACTGAGACGTGTTGAGAATAGTCCCCCATATAGAGCCAGAACCTGCACGTACCATCGGCATCACTCTCATTATGTAACATATTTATCTGCAGAAATGGCAAGATATTATGGCTTATTTGGCTAGAATTACAGAGGAAAACATCATGGTAAAAATTTCCAGTCACATTTTGGATACCGAAACTATGTCATGGCTACATAACTGTACACGCTTTGTATTTCTCTCCAAAAATATGGCTTACTAAACTTTAGAATCGAACACATTTTCTGGAATTATAAATTCTATCAATGTAAAGGTCTATAATTCCTCATCTGAGTCCTCAACCTCTTTCTAACCCAGCATCATCTTGCCGCAACGACCAACAAAGAAGTTGCTCCAATTGCATACAGGAGCTTGCCCCATTAATCTCCAGCCATCTCTCCCTACATATTTTCGACGCTATTTATACCCGCAAAGTGGAAATCAAGTCGAAAATACAAAGCCTGGGTCTTGGCTTATGTGGGACTGCCGCTCTAATGAGACAAACAACTTGAGGAAGGACAGACGGCTGAGATGTGGAGCGAGAGCGAGAACAGGTCTCTGAAGAGCATGCTGAGACCGATACTTACGAGGGGTTTTCAACTTTGGATTTTTTGTGGGCGCCAAGTGTTATGAATGCAAGGTTATGGGAGGTGGAATAGTTACCGGTAAATAACTGCACGTTCACTGAGGCTTGAAGGTAGAGGTAGATTGTAATGAATTAGTAGACTTGCTTGCTTTCATTCAAGTTTAGAGAATCACTACTTTTATATACATATACCACATTCTATGGCTTTCCATATCCCCAGTCGCTCAGTTCCATTCAGCTCTGAGTCATCACATTCTATTCCATCCTGTTCTATTCTATCTGACTCTGGTCCGTTCTGTTTTAACCATTAGATTCTACATCTCTATGATCCACAATAACCAGATGCAGGGGTGGTTATGTCATCAATTACAACACCAAGACCAAGATTTCGGCTAACTAGCCAGGAAGACCTCAATTGTCCTTGAGTCAACGGCACTGCCCAGCGCCCTGGACGTTACAAAAGAAGTTCGGCTAAGCTACCATACAGCAATCATGCTCTATCAAGACTTTTCTGACATTTTAGCACGACTTTCGGGAAGGAGTGGGAAGGAAGCTAGAAAGGCAGAGGGTGAATTTCCCGTCGTACCCACAAGTCTGCAGCGCCCAGCTGGCCGGCCTCTTCGAACGCTTCAGAAGGGGCAATATGTCTTCGGGTTTATGCCTAATATCGGTATTGGAAGTGCCCCGTACCCAGTGGTTTTTGCGATTTTTCCCGGCTGCCGTACACCCGCAAATGGCCATCGTTTCGTTGGCTGGAGAGGGGAGTTAATGGAGGGCAAAGGGCTCCTCTAAGTGTATAATCAAATGAGGACTTGTGAGGTATGGTACTGTCTGAGGGGAGCTGTGTGGGAGGCATAGGAGGGGATATACTCCCGGTAGAGATATCCTTGGCCTGTAGCCGGAGAGGACCTGCATGTCCTACATAGTCATAGACTCAGACAGGACAATAAAATGAATTAAAAAAAAAGGTCGACAGTGTCTAGTACTGTGGTTGGGTATTCTCTCTTAGGCATTTTTCGCTGTCTCTGTCTAGTGATGCACCTTGGCAGGTCTTTATTCAAAGATATACTTTGGAGAACAGCCACGCTGTATTTATTTGCCGTCTCATGATAATCGGGCCACCGCTGTTTAGAGGTAGTGTATCTGCAGAGGTCTTCATGCAAACGAAATTACCGGCTGAATAGCCCTTCTACCGTCGTAAATATTAAATTTGAGGGCGCCGCTACCTCTGTAGCGTTGAGTGAGAGCGTCTAGCGAGACACAGTAGATTATTGTATAGCCGCAAGTATCACCCCTCCTGATTCGTGTCGCAGGACGATACTGAGGCCGTGTCATCATTTCAAAAATATCTAGCTCGCGGGCAGCTTTTTAAAATGCAAATACCCTCATGAGATTTAGATAGCTATGCTTAAAGACCGCTCGTAGTGTCTGGATATCAGTGGGAAAATCGGTGGGATAGTAGTAAATTGTTCGTCTTCACCAATGACTCACATGGTGAGATATTTCAATGTACTCGCTTAAGAGTCACGCACAAGAATCTTGTCTGATAATGCTAGGCTTGGAGCATTGATTTCCAGAACATGCAAGCCTCTTCCTAATGAGATGCGAAACCCGCCCAAAGTGAAATGACAACCCCACAATCTCTCTCTGATGACCAGTTGAAACAGAACTGGGTGATGGAAGAAAGCTGAAAATATTCCCGTGTGGATACCCAAGTCGAACCCACGTGTTTCTAATTCTTTGATCCGAATCGCAAGGTTGCTTCGCAAATACTGCTCCAATGCCACATCACCCGGCATGCTACCATCTCATCAGGTTCTTCTCACTGATCAACATCATCCGCTGTATAGGATAAGCCTAAAATATCATCCTTCAACAATTGTGATAATAAAAATTTAACAGGATAGAGCTTGAGGCTAGAAAATTACAATTAGTCCTTCCAAACTATGACGAGCCTCGTGAAATCGCTGACAGCAAAAACTGCACTGGGTGGCAGGCCAAGATCCACGACTATAGCAAACACTCCATTACTATTACTTCCGGCCTGGCCAGTGTGAAAAGGTCGGACGGCTCGCAGGATTATGCTGCGTTGGCCAAAGGTGAAAAGCGACTCTGAAACATTGCCATGTAAGCCAACTTGCAAGCCTTTGCCTACGTCTTGACCTACAAAGCAATCGAGGGATTCCGAGGTTTTCCTGACAGGGAATATGCTGGCAAATTTTAGCATGACAGCCCCGACCCTGACAAGCGATGCACGGGCGCAGCTAATGCGGTTGGAAATAAACCTGTGCGTACAGCATGGGCAAAAATGACGTCCACGCCGGGTTATTTATTCGCAAGCTGCACTGGAGTCCTAATGTACCCAAGCTCTCTGCCCTCTACAATGTCGATCTCTATCTCCTCGTCCAACCAGATACTGGAATGAGCCTTATACCCTTAACGCAAGATTCTGTTGTCAATGAATGTAGAAATATACAGGCCATCTTCAATAACGCCAGGAGATGTTTAACCGAATAGTGAGATATGAAGTTTCTCGAAATTCGAGCCATGAGGGCAGGGCGTGCTGTGCTTTCTGGCTTTCTGAATATGCATGGGATTATCCATGTGTAGTTCTAGTGGAATTTCTCAGATGGTTACAGTTCTTACGACTCTCCGTTGATTTAACAAAATTCCAAGGTGCGTTATGGAAATATTGCTTTACGGTTCAAGTAGTCATGTATCTTATTAGTTTGAATGATGTTTACCTCACAATTTTGGATATGTGCTAATCTATGTGTTCTTGGTCTAGATCAAAACCTTTGATCCCCGACTAGCAGGCAGTGGAGGATATTACTCACAATGATGTAGGAGTATCTATCTACTGTTCGACAACCGATAGGGTTTCGAGGCATAACTGTGATGAACAAAACGTCAGGAATGTGACACAATTTCTTTGGTGGCTCATATCGACCGAGTGCGATTAATGGTAAGGAGCTGCGTCACGCTCAGCCCCTTTATCGGAGATTTTTTTATCACCGATAATGCCTGCTGTTCTCACCGGCTCCAATCAGAATATTTCATATGGGATTTTATCTGAATTCCCACTTCATCACAACTTCTTCAATTGCAGGTAGGATTTGCCTTGACCAACAACGAGTAATACTATGCGGCCAGCAGTACAAATTGCATGAATCAACAACAGGATACTGCATGCAAGTGAAACTGACATTATTAAAGATGCCACGATTCAGGCTATCTCTACCACAATAATTTGGTGGAATTCGACTCGAAAACCCCTGGCTGTAAGCGATAAATGTAAGTCCGATTTGACTTTGATAGAAAGCTACAATAAAACGGGTTTGGCTAGCTACTTTTTGTCTACTTCAAACACACTTGCTTGTCCATTACCGAGAATCAAGATACGTTCTTTTGTGCCAGAACTGAAAGTCCTGATTGCGGTTTACAGTCGATAAACTGCTCTAAAAATATTAATATTCAACCTACGTCAAACTTATTGTGGAATTTTTTGCGGACTCTGCCAGTCCAGTAGATATTTTCCATAGCGTACCTTTAATTAGTTGTGCTAAGGATTAGCTGAGCAACATTAAAAATATTAATGTCTATGAAACTTTGAACGTCTGCCCATCTATATACTACTCAACATCGAAACTGCCATATCACCCCAGCTCTTCCAAAGAAGATTCCTCTACCAAAATTTTGGTGTTGTAGCTATCATTGCACGCGTAACTTTGAATTCATTTTTTAACCGGACGGCATTTAAAGCATCCACATTATATTCAGACTGTATTGATAATCCTGTGAGCTGAATGTCCATGGAAGATGGGATGGGTCTGGTCTGTTCAAACGTGCGCACGACTTAGTCGAGCACACGCAGGGGCATGTAGAGGGTTAGTAGGAGGGCTGCAGACGGACCTCGATTAAACCAACGGCTATCTCGGTTAATTCCTTAAATGACAGGGAGGGCCTGAAGGTATGATTCTAGTATGACGACTTTCTAAAGGCCCAATCTAGTCCCCACATCTCGCCTCCTCTAACCGTCTTCACAACTCCGGTTTCTACGTCTTGATATACAAACTAGGTGATTAAATTCTCAATTCGCCTCACAATTTAAGTTTACACCACAATACTTCAGGAAGGACATGGCCGATCCTGATGATATTATCTCTGCGTCTCTTTCGAAAAGCCAGTTTCAGAGGTTCTGCCTGCCCAAGGTTGATACAGGAATCAATGAGTCCCGGAAATTTCGGGTCATAATTGCATCAACTGGTCCAAATGATGTGTCTCAAGTGCAAGAACTATTTCTCAGATTATCGAAAAACAGCAGAATAGAAACAAGTGTCATTATCGATGAGTTTTTGCTGGAACATGACTTTCCAAAGGATACCACTGTATTGCGTAACCTATACTTTCGGAAGTTTGAATTTAGAGATAAAGCCTGTGAAGTGGTTGAACTAGCAGAAATTGAGTTAGCCAGGCAAAGAGCGTACGAACTCTGTCAATGGGCAGATCTGATGATACTAGCACCCATCGATTATGATAATTTGGCCAAAATGTTATGTGGTATTACTGACTGTTTCCTACTAGAAATACTGCGAGGATGGAATATATCAAAAAGTATACTATTAGCACCTGGAATGACTATCTCAATGTGGGAGAATCCCATGACGAAGAAACAGCTAAAAAAAGTTCAAAGAATTATGCAAAAAGTTCAAATAATATCCCCAATATTGTGGACATATGATGAGAAGTCACCAAGCAAGAAGCTATTACCGTGGAATGGAATGAATGAATTCATTGAGATTGTGGAAAGCCAAGTGTTATCAGCTTTAATGAAAATTGTAAATGACACGGATATTCTTGCCACCTCGACACCTACTTCATTCCGAATATTTACAAAATCAAAAGCTTCATTACCAGCTGAAATTTGGAGCCTCATTTTCGAGAGAGTTGGCGATTGGGAAATTTCAAAAGCACTTGATATCTATACAAGTATCCCTACTCCTATGGAATGGCAGTTCAAGGCTGATATGCAAAAAAACGAGATGGATCACTACATGCGGTCACTAGAAAAGACCATACTTACATCTTCCATCAAAAAAATCAAACAAAAATTACAAGAGATGCCCGAAAATACCAAGTGGCTGTCGAAACTTTCCGTAAATTTGATCATTAAATTTGGCCTATTAGAGATTCTCTCCTTCCTAGAAAAAAATTATAAGTCCATATTCTTAACTTCTTTTGGACAAAGAGTCTTACCCACTAAGGCATCGGCTATATATGGAAGAATCGAGGTTCTCGAATGGTGGAAAATGTCACCAACTCTCCTCTCTAAAGATTATAATTCTGAAGCGATAGATGGCGCGTCAAAAATGGGATTTATACATGTTCTTGAATGGTGGCGGCGCTCGAATCTATCCTTAAAATATACAGAGACAGCCCTGGAACAAGCATCTTCTCGAGGAAATATATCAGTACTTGAATGGTGGAAACATGCCAATACACAGCAAGACTTTTGCCACACCCTAGAATGCGAGATACCGTCTCGCGAAAAGAAAGATAGCGCTTATGCCTACGGTTCTGTTGAAGTTCAGAGGACTCTGCCCCTTCTTCCTGGAAAGTCCCTTCTGACCGCAGCTCAGAATAATCAGCCTCTTGTATTACGCTGGTGGGATAATTCTCGTATACCTGTTTCACACTCAGAGGCCGTGGCTAGGGTTGCATCTGAGCACGGTTACGTCGATGTTCTTGATACCTGGCTAGAATTAAAAGGCGAGAAGCTATCATTTGATAGCAAGATACTTATAGGTCCAACAAAGAATGGACATGTGAATGTTCTACAATGGTGGAAAAACTTCAGCAGAGGAATAGATGGACGGCCCGGTCGCAAGGTCGAATATAAAACTTGTGATATTGAGGAGGCTCTTGAAGATTGCATTCGGAATGAAAAGATCGCATCCGAAGTGAGAATTTGGTGGACCCAAAACGGTTTGAATCTAGGACTTCAGGCACGAGAGTGGACCCGAACAAAAGTGCTCTAGACTTTTATGAAATTTTCTCAAACCGGTAAATAATCACTAAAAAAGAATATATTCATGGGAAAAGTAGTCAGTATGCCAGGTCTTTGAGAAGGACCTCAGCCAAGGGTTGAAAGTCAAATTGATGAAGATACGTCATACTCAGCCCTACGCTACCCATTGGACCTTAACGGCAACTTTTTTATCGACTATGGATCCTCATCTTGGTCTCCTTATGCCACAGACTTTATTGGAAAGTTGAGTTGAGCGACAAAACCCTCCACGACACAATATTAGAGCTAGCGGCTTCTAAAATGACAGTAGCGATGGAATCTTAGGAAATGGGTGCTCGGATATATCTAGTAGATAACCCTGAGAGAGACTAAACTGGATCTCATCTTCTCAGAGATGTAGTATATAAGATTAAAATGCATGCCGTCTTCATCTTACGAAGGCGCATCACATGCATGTAGCGTATAGCATTTGAAGTAGGAACAGTCAAGTAGTATTGGCTCAGTTAATGTTAGCCGTACTCTATTTATCAGACTCTTTGAAAATGAAGTAAAAATTTCACGCTTTTCGCTTACTAGATATGTGAATAGCCATGTCCATAGTTGTACATGTACGATGTCCGAAATATTTCTTTCTTACAGACATGTATGCCACCCTCGTGGTAGCATGCTAATTTTCCAGAATTCTATTCGCGCTACGCTACAGCGGATTTTGGGAATTATAGTACTCACTAGAGTATTGCTATGTTTTTATCTCGTCTATTGCAAACTGGTTTGAAAAATGGCGTGGAGAAATAGGCCAACGGGTTTTACTAGGCAAGATTTTTTGATAGGGTTTTTAGTTTTTCGACTACCATCTACACCTGAATAATAAGTGGATGTTTCTTGCCTAATTTACTAGCCTTTTTCCAGAATGAAAACTGAGGATAATTCAATGATATGATTCAAAATCTGAATGTGATAGGCTTAACTAGCTAAGACCCATTCAAGTTTCAAAATAAATAAGAGGGTAAGCTGAGTTGACCTTCCGAGGCTTGCGTTTATTTAAATCTGTAGTTCCTGCTTGAGGCTGAATCTAGCCAGAACTTCAAATGATTTTCGAATAAGAATCAGTTTAATTTAACTTGAATTCCCACGCCATTATCTAAGTTGAGTTTAGGTTACAATTAGTATGTAAACATAAGCTCATACCATAGCGCACTTCCGACAGAACACACCAACTGCAGCAAACAAATGAGCCGATTGGAGTTAGAGACAAGCTAATTCAGTTTTCTAAAGGTAATTGTTGACATGAAACCATGGATGAATAAGCTCTAAAGAAGCGAAGATTTTGAAGATAATTTTTCAAATTGGCGGCGGTTTGCTATCCCACAAGCTTATCTCGTGTGTTCAGGTAACCTGATGAGCATACAGGAGGGCCTCGTGATTTGCCCTCAAGGATCAACTCAAACAAGGAGGGTCTGCGTCATCTGTATGTCTATCTTAATCAAGACAAAGGGTTTGGTAATTTTTAATTCTCTCAATAATGATAGGCAAAATGATTGTCGCAAGCTCACAGGCATGTTATCTTTCCTTGGATGACAAAGAAGGAACAATGTGTAGAAATGCCTGAATCCAGTTCCGAGATCCATGATTAGCCAATCTGAGTTCGAGTGCCCTGTCATGGATGAAACAATTCTCCAACATCCTGGTCATTAGACAATTCGACTAGCCTTCTCTGTCGGTTGTCCTGCTAGGATTCCCCAGACATAAGACTGGTGCAAGCCCATTCACTAGGAGTTCAATTTGTCTTAGAGCCGCGCTAAATCGGGGCCTACAATTTCGAGCGAGCCGAGATCACCCTCTACCACGATTCATATTCTAAACAGCATTGATTACAGTCAAACCCTCATCCAACATACAAGTACGATCTAGTTGACTCTCACCTCAACGACCACACATCTCGGAGTGTAAGACTGAACACCTGTACGCGGTGTCCTCTTCGAACCTGGAAGTGAAACATTCCCCCAGAGCTGAGTTCAGTCCAATTTCGTAATACCGAACAAGTTGGCCCACGGGGCAATAATTCAAAATACTCCACCACTTCAAATTTTCACACCCGAGGAGATCGAATCCTACCTAAACCTCATCAGGCCGATAGGTATGACTTAGTACATCCTAATTCCAATGATCACACCTGTTGCCCACTTTCTCTGGCCTCAGCTGGTCGCCAGATACACGCTCACGCCAATGTTTACACCAAACGGAGGAAGCAAAGCGTGGCGCCCAAATCTGGAAGGCAGTTCTTTGGGATGGGCGTGAGAGGATTTATGACAAGTTTATAAGATGATGCAGAGGATGGATACAGTCTCGACGGGCGTGAAATTTCGAATTTTGGCAAGGAGTTTTTACAAATTGAGCTTTGTGCGCGCCAAGGCTTCGGTTGCGAAAGTGCAGCTGATACTATAAACACCGTCGTGGTTGAATGGTGCGGTGGTACATCATCTGGGCCGATCTCCCAAGTAGAGTCTGGATAACTAGCATACATATCCCACACGAGACGGGAGATCGCTGGTTCAAATACACCGAAACAAAATCACTTTCTCGCGGCGCTGGTATACATGGATGACGAAAGCATCCTTGTCCAACCAAAGGGTTAGAATTTCCCTTTGGTGGGTACTTACGGAGGAGGGTCAACTGTTTGTGTAAGCAGGCATACCTCATAGTAGTATTCGCGAATGAAAACCAGAGTATAAGTGTCACTAACGTCAAAAGAGTCATCCAACATGTAAACATAGCACCGGTCATGTCTCATATCACTATAGCTGAATACACAATTAATGATTTAAACAAAAAAAAGACTTACAGAAGACTTTTGACGAGAACTGAAGAATTAAATGCGGCCTAGACTAAACCGGTTTCTATGTCGCTCAGCCCGGCACATCTGCTTCATTCCCGGTCAACGTCCTCGTTAATCTTAGGGTGATAGTACTACACTCTTACCGCCTCATAAATCCCCACTTACAACCTCTTCATACAATTGAAATCACGATGCGCAAATCTGCATCCCGGCACTGTTCATCTGAACCTCTACAAACTCTTGTAAAGTCGTGACGACGATATAACATAATTTGTTACCAGACAGAGCTTCCCCAATTAGTTAGTCTTGGGACTAATCTTGGGGATAGCTTGCTATGCCCTCACACGAAATCCACGATGAAATGTGGTCAAGAAGCGAGGGGAAGTTCCACGTCGCTCGCCGTCAACTTTTTGATGGCCAATGCGGGTCAAATAGCAGATAGCCTACCAGTCAGTTTCCCGCAGAAAATTTTGAGAAGAGAACTGTTTTAGCTTCCTTCGCGTACTTGAATCATATACTCGAATAAGATTTCTGGAGACACCTGTGTATTCGCTCATCTACCACGACCAGAAAACCTCACCGATTCAAGGCGTCTCCACTCTTCAAAACATCCTGTTATGTGAGGGAATGAAAGTCGAACAGCCCACGGTATTCTCTCAACCTCCAACTATCATCATCCAGTATGCCGAGCCGAGTATGAGCTCAACACTGGCCGAGCAGTTTTCTAACCTCTGAGACAACGGCACTCTCCAGTACTGCAGACAGCACAAAGAAGTTGGGCAAAGATAAACTATAGCAGACACTCTCTGTCAAGACCATCCTGGCATATTAATACTATCATTAATCTGATACAAGGCGCAAATGAACAAAGGGGCTAGTGAGGTAGAGCATAAATCTCCTAGATACCCACAAGTCAAAAGTACCCAGCTAACTGAGTTCTAGAGACACTTCAGAAGAGTAGCTCTATTTTCATATTTAGTCCTGATGTCGATGGTGGGAGAGCTCCGCACCCAGTGCTTGCGACTTTTCCCTGCTGCCATACACCCGCAAACGGCCCTCGTTGAGATGGCTGGAAATGGAAACAGTATAGGGCAAGAGGCACCACCAAGAATATGACGGACTGAAGAAATATGTGGAAAAGTATTGATGTATGGGAACTGGGAAGGAAATATATGAAAAGACACAATTTCCGAGCGTAAGTGGGGTTGGCCTGTAGGCAGAAAGAACCGGTATCTCCCACACATTCATGGCCTGAAAAATGAAAATAGTGACAAAACTAAAGAAAATTTGATCCTATATTTAGTTAGCTCCCTCTTCCAATATTTTCTCTCACATTAGGCCAGGGGTGCAATAAGCTATCATTTTTCCAGTGTCTCTGACTTTTTGACATAAACCAAGATTCATGTAATCATGGTAACTTCATGTCATTATTTATTCCCTAATGTTATCGTCGAGGACTCTCACCAGACAGTCTCACCACTTTATCCTCTGTGTGCGTGCGTGAGGGGCTGGGTCCGGCATAACTCAACTTTGTAGATAATTTATGCACCAGGGGGTGAGGCGAGAGCGGCCAAGCCTCTTCAGCACCAGATTCTGAAGGCGCACGCAGCTTTCTAGCTATGACACGAGTTCTCCATCTTGTTCGAAGTCCTAGGCCGGAATCTCACCTCTTTTTCCAAGTCCGACCGGTGGAGCCGGCCGAGATTCTGCCGTGAGGCCTGCCGGCTCTTTTTTTCCATCCTTTAATTTATACTCAGCTACTTAACTATGACGCATGATCGGTGCTATGTATACATGATGGATGACTCTTTTGACGTTAGAGACACTCATTCTCTGGATTTCATCCGCAAATACCACTATGAGGTATGTTCGCTTTTACAAACAGTCGACCCTCCCCTGTAAGCAGCCACCAAAGGGACGTTTCAAAAACCCTGAGTTATCCAGACATGCCTCCTCCTCCATCATCTTTTCTCCGCGCGAAACGTGATTGGAGATGTCTCCCTCCCAAGGGGACTAGGTGGCTAGACTCCCATTCTGATTGGGAGAATGGCCTTGATGATACGCCAATGCACCACCTGGCCGTGCGAGAGGACTGTCTGTACTATGTTCGCCCCCTCACACCATGCAGTGGCTATCTAGTATCCACCAGCCCTGATGCCAAAAAAACAAAAAAGTGTCAGCGACCTCTCACTCGTCTATGTGTCTCAGGGTAGGACTCGGAACATTCAGCTTATCCAGAAACGCCCTGGTCATGCTTTGCCTCCTCCGGCGCCGTAGCCCGCTGGCCCATGTTGGCCCCACGCCCGCAACAGCCCGCCTTCATTAGACTCGGTACTGGTCACCTCCTCACACATCGCTTGTACTGCATAACGACCCTACAACCCAAAACGCCCATACGGGATCTTGAAAATTGGAGCAAACTGAACAACGACCATGACGAACTGCTTCCACTGTACCTCAACATCGCTCGTCATCTTTTAAACGTGCAAAGAGCTGGCAAAGATTCCAAACTTTCAAGAACTACAAGTGGGAAAAACGCAGCATCTCTGCGCCTATTGGCCGCACGAGTCCTGCGAATGCCTTCGTGGCAGATGGTGAAGTAAACCGGGAGAAAAGGGTCAATCTAGTAAGGACAAGGGATGGCAGAGGAGAGATGGTGAGGTAAATATAGCGCGCCGGGTCTGATACAGGATGCAACTAACGAGTGGCATGTAGTGTATTGGGATTTCCTCTTCCATCAAACAAACTAGCATCTAAAGCACGCGTACACAAAGGGTCTTGCTACGATAGCCATCCATAAAATGCGTAAAATACCCTTGAAAAATGCGCTTAAGCTTAGGTCCGACAATAAATAGCTTTATAGTCCTCCCTATATGACTGCAAGTTCTTGGGACCAGTGAGAATTAATCCGATACTTCCACGGCTACAAAAGCCAAGAATTCAAGGTTTAAAAAGCCGAAAAAGCCAGGGTCTAGCCTTTAAAGAAACTCGAAGTATTAGTGCTTTGAGTGGGCTAATTTATCTATTATTCCCGGGATAGATAACTGCAACATATAAGATATTAGCAAGTTCTCGAATTTAGAGAAATAAAAGTTGCATTTAATGGGGATGCAAATTGAGACAACTCTCCGTCGACTAAAAGCATTTAAACCTACAATTTTAGGAAAACAAATCTGAGTTTTATAAAACGTCTTAAACTTCGAATAGCCACTCAGTCCCACATAATTTAGCCTTCAGATAGAGAGCTTATCGGTGAATATTACGCAAACCAAAAACTTTATTAAGCTTAAAACAGCAAACATCATCAAGTCAGCAAACTTGACAAAATGTGATCCCTAGTATTCTTCATTCCTATCGAACTGTGCCGGAGATCCGCGCTACCATGGGAAATTAATATATTTGATTACATCGAAACACTCTGCTACGCTAAAATACAAAATCAGCCAGCTGGTAAGTAAGACTCTGAACAAGCGCCCATAAACTACAAGATAATGCAAAGAACTCTGAATCCTAGAAGTCGTACATGTGAAACCCATATTTCATCCATCAAACGCCAATAGCTCCTATTATCTCATCTAAACTGTGGAAGCCCTCTTGCCAACGCCGCTATTAAAATAACTTGATAGAGGGCCTGGAAAAATTATAGTTTGTAAGCCACCTGACGAGATGTGCCAATTTGGAGAACATGAATTTAGAATCCCCCTCTGCCCCTGGATAATTTTTTGGCAATTATTGCGGCACATTTGCCGCATTTTTGGACCTATCACGGAGGTTACACGAAACTGAATTATCCATGATAATTACGTTGTTATTAATCGTTGTGGCAGATCTAGAGCTTGAAGCACTTTGGTCGGTACGAGAAGGGACTGCGAAGCTAAGTGTTCGAGCTGGGCTTGGTGGCCTAGATAAGACAGACTCATAATTCGGAAGACTATCGTATGTCATGCGCCGAACGGTACTATACGATGGAACCTTGCTAAGTCCTTCCATGTCTAGAGTCTCGCTATAATCGGGGGTATGTTGACCACTGTTCGGATTCGAGTGTGAACCTGTATCGCCGCTTGCACGTCTGCTTAGCGGATTACTAGGGGTGTAGCCCAAGTTTCTAGGGAATTCAAGTCGGTAACTTCCATCAAAGCTTCCCTGGCGATCCGAATCAACATTAGGATATATGTGCGGTGTGCTTGAACCGGAACTGCCCAGCCCTGCAAGACGACGAAAACTACTGTTTCTTGAACCAAAACTTAGATTCTGAAGCCTCGATGAAAGGGCTGCTGGAGTTATTGCACCAACTGCCGGAGAACAGGGAGATAAAGTGCCATCAAGAGACGCCAGATTTTCACTCGAGCCAGTTCTAGAATGGATACGTGCTGGAGTGTTCATTCCCGACCGGAAGCTAGGTGTCATCAAGCCCGGTTGATATGCTCCAGAAAAAAGTGGGTCCATTAAGTGATCCCCATACAAGGGGGGAGCGTGCCGCATTATGTCGATAGCACTCGCATTGCTCTCTGAGCTTTGATTAACAAGTTCGCCGCTAGCAGTGAGAGGCATGCTTGGAGAGAAAAATATGCTAATAGGAATTGTTGCGTGAAGCTACACCAGATCAGCAAATTTCTCTCCTTTAAAGGTTAGGATATGAAGTATATCCTGGTGCAGGTTATTGTCACCCTTACCTCAGAGTGATGTCCATCTGGATTTATGAGGACTACATTAAACTTAACCTTGTGTCTCACTTTGATGCCATTAGTATCGCAGTCCTGCAGACATTCATTCAACTTCTTGGGCAAAGGTAATTTCTCAATTAACAAATGGCCATCTTGACCATTGTCGAAAAGCATTTCTTGGTAACTGTTCTCGCTCATATGAAAAATCCACATTCCGATTTGTTTTTCATTGGAGTAGGTCTTCTCGGATTCGTGCCGCAGTGCTGATCCCATTGCTGTAAGCTCTATTATTTCAAATAGGCGGCATTTAATCTCGCCTATGCGGAGGCCTTTAAGCAACATTGTAAATCGCATCTCAATATCAACAGCAGTGCCAAACATGACGGCCTTCTGAGGGACCATTACTGAATATTCGACTTTGTTTGGCCATACATTCTCGACACTCATGGGCTGTGCCAGGTCTAAGTCTGTTGAATCGAGAGTTCGAATGATGCGCACTGGTTTCCAAGTGTGCAAGTCGTGTGCCAACTTTCCACGAGCTAATGTTGCCTTCAATTTATATGTAATATAAGTTTCCCGCATGCCCTCGACACTTTCAGCCATCGATCCAGGAAGAATGAGGTCAAATGGCCATTCATAGTTTCCCGGATGCAATATTAATCCTTTGGAGGAAGACCCAGGACCTACGCCGCCGATGAAAGGTGCCCATTTATGATTAAAGATCTCACAGTTCTTGTAAACATGCATATTACCTTCGGAATCATTATTATTTTTCTTTTCGGGCCAGCTATATTTTTTCAATTAGAGACAGAATACGTGCAACGTTGCAGTACAGGAAGTGAACATACGATATTTTCAATAGCCCACTCATTTTTAAGTGTAAATCTTCAACCTTCAACGCTTGGTGTAGTCTTAGTACTACGACACCACTAAGGATCTGACTTGAGGCCTCGACACAATCTCCATGAAGTACGATGACATCTTTGGCTAGACTGCATTATGTAAGTATTCCGAGGATCAGTACAGAGCGAGTATTGCGCACCGGATCTCAAAGAGAGAGGCACTACTATTCTTTCCCGTAAGGGCAGAAAAGAATTTTGGCATGTTTACGATGATTCCAAGTAAAAATGGTTGGATTTCCGTAACAGTTATGTCTGACTTTCTTCTTTTCAAGAGATTGCTCTGCACGCTGTTGTTTTTTTAGGAGTTTCGATAGTAATAGACTTCAAACGAAGCAAAGTGATAGGAAATCAAGTAGATTAACTTGTTGATATGTAAAAAACCGGGCCAAATCAGGGCCCTAGTAGTGAATAGACGTTTGAGCCAACAGGTAGTTGAGGTGCGCAGGAGTGATCATCTAAAATTGAAGCAAACTGGTAAAAAGCACAAAAAAAGATTAACTATAGTAACAACGGCAATAACAGTGATGATTATGATAAAGAGGAGAAGGAAAAGGTTGTTCAGAAATCTATAGCTAATAATAGAAGCGATAAGATTTTTAGAGTTTAAAGGGTGTATTTTTTATGGGAAGGGATTACCGGCCGCGATGGTGATGATGGTAACTGGTAGTGCCCAACGCCACCAGCCCTGGATAGTTCAATTAAGGTGTCTGATAGTTTAAGGTACTTGCTAGGTCAAAATTGACTTTGTCCCATCTCTCGTCTTTGCTACTGTAAAAATGACTGTTGCCAATCGGGTTGAACGGAGATGGAAAGATCTAGCTGAGTTGACCAATTAACGCTGGTAACGCCAGGTCTGCAAATATAGCAACTTGAACGAGTCAAGAGCTTGTGACTCAGAGGCTTCGCCGAGTGTTTGTGGACTGAACATCCTTCCCATCTTGAACAGCGGATCCTCCATTTACCTCAAACATCAACAAAACCTCTCTACTTTCTATCAGCCCTTCACTCTTTTTTATCCAAGTCGGTCTGACCTGGTGCCATTTAGCTCCGCGAAGCCGACCTATCTAGGATAAATCGTCACATATACCGCAAACCATGAATAACAATTATTCAATTCAGATCCTATCACAAACTGCAAAACTATCCTTCGACCCACTTAGGACACCGATCCTCTTTCCCCCAAGTAAACATAAACCATAACTTTCAAAATTATCAATTAAGCAATCAAATTTTCTATTCTATCCTTGATTGACTTCGATAGGAAAACCATGTTAGCCAGCGTGCATCCCGGAAACTTCTCCAATATTTTCGCATGACTCCAATGTTGCCAATCCTGCCAAGGATTTTTAACAAAAATTGGCATCAAATTGTAAGATAAGGGTAGCTTCACTCGGTGAGTTAAGGGCCAGACCCCTCTTGTCGCCCTTGGACATTGGACGACTAGAGCATGCTATGTCAATCACACCCAGGACTAATGAACAGGGATAAGGCTTGGTATCAATTTAAAGAAATATCCATGATATCTTGACATCTGGTAACCCCAGGAAACTGTGGCTTTGAGTGCAGACACCGTGAAAAAAAGTAATGCTACATTGTGATCCCTGACGGCCTTCGCAGATTTTCCGCCACGGCTTTTCCTCACGCTCTTAAAGCTCTGGAAATATGAGAAACTGATTTTCGATGTTTGAGAAGATTGCCGAGCAGCAGTCCCTTCAATCTTTGGATGTCCCGCGCAGTTGATTCTGCGAACGCATGTATGAGGTAGCAATTTTAAGTTCTTGGCTGCAGGAGAGTTTTAAAGCCTTGCGTGATTACAGGTGAGAACTAATACTAAGATAGAGTGGTAAAGTCTTCTGGCGCCTTGTTATGAAAGGGCTATCTGTCCTTAGAAGTCTGTAGAAAAACCGACAGCAAAAACTCCAAGCAGAAAAAACTCATCATGGAGAATAAGTTGGATTTCAAAGAGGAATCTGGACGAATTTCGAAATGCCTATACAATTTTATTGTATCTACATGCCATAATTAATGAGCCGGACACTTGGGTCCCATTTATGCTCAGAGCCTACCGAAAAAATTTGTTTACGATAAACTTTTCAGTCAGCCGAGATTATATGGGTTATTTGCCTCGCCTCTATCTGCCGGCTCCAGATACTTATGTATCCTAGGTAGCTATCAAATAATAATCATGAACTTCCCTAATTCTCGCTCGGTCACAAACTTAGAGGTGCATTAAGCCCGACTATATACCGCTTCGAACGGCATCGGAGTAAATGCCATTTGTAGGTTTACGCTAATAGAGAAAACTGGCACGAACTAGTGGGTGCGAAGATACCTGGTTCTTCGAAACATGATTTCTGATGAGCTATACCGACCACGAATGGTGGACAAGTAGTTTCAGGCCAAGGTAGGTGGGAAATTTTGGGTCACAACCTTCCTTGAACCCTAGCTGATCCGCTGGGTTGGTATTTATAGTATTATTATCACGGATGTTTCAGTTGTTCCGAGTAGAAAATCAGATGGATGGCGACAATTTTGCATCATTTGGCATCTTGAGTTCCAGGCTAATTACAGATGGATTAGTTCACATTTGCCTGAAAGTATAATGTCAGTCAGAATATTCCAACTTCAATGTCTTTCGATCATGGAGCGGTTGTCATCGCGAATTTAAACCCAACTAAATGATCCTTTAGCGTTTACAAAATATCATAGATTCATATCCAATCATCGCACCAGGTAGATCTGCTAGAGTAAGAGCGAGTTTAGTTTCATCTCAGCTATCCATCACTACGGGTCAGTTGGCACGACAAGCTCCCGCCTTTCTGGGGCTATGGCAGCAAGCTCCACACAATCCCAGCGCCCACGTTCAACGAAATATTTCCCTACAGTGATGGCGAAGAAGTATAATGGTTTCTGAATTCAGTCAGAGGCCCGGCAGTAACCAGTCGCTTGCACTCGTGGTCCAATTAGAGTAGGTGACTGATACGTACATGAACAAGAGATTGGCTGAAATAGAAATCACTAGAATGTTGAGGCTAAGCATTAAAGGCTTTGCTGAGTCGAAGCCATAATGGCTCACTCCAGGAGAAATTTAGCCAAAGATTCTTCCAACTGTACACACAACTGCTCGCATATTGATGTGTATCTGCAGCAGGAGACATGATTTCCATCAGTACCTTCGCAGCCCGGATTAGGTAATTCATTTCTTTCCCCTGTTCATTTTTGCCAAGTGACTATATAGCTAAAGGACCCTTGATCGTCCACTTCGCTGCGCCCCATGAGGCTCCTTGCATCTTATGTCCTACTGAAGATTTGTATTAGATAGACGTAAAAAATAAACCAAACCATAAAACTGCTCGAGATCAGCTGTCTCATCTCTAGAGCGGTATGGTACCAGGTAATTTCATGCGGGAAAACTCCGGGCTTAGAGGAGAAGCGTGGAGTCGAGTCATAGAATGGTCTTTGTACATCTCGAATTTGCCCACATAAAATGTATAGTTTATAGCAGCTAAATATCAGAGATAAAGTTGTTTCTAATATCGGACTCCACCATTACACAGCGGAAATGAAACTATAGGGCAAAATTTTAATTAGTCAAGGACGCAAACTAATAAATGCTGGACGAACATAGCTCCAACAGCCGTGTCGTGGCCGCAAACCCAAAAGCGTGGGAAATCATACTCCTTGGTAAAGTTGGATACTCATCTGCTGAGCGAGGATTAAGCACTAGGAAGGCAAAAACTGAAAACTTGTGCCCGGTATCCTTTATAAATTTGGGAGTGAAATATTTTCCCAAAACCAAGTTCAGTCAAATTTCGCAGGGCCAAAGAAGTTGACCCACAAGGGCCGATGATTAAGGATACTCCACTATATCAACCTCTCAGTCCTAACGAGATTGGTTCCTTCGTAAGCCTCACAATGTCTGCTAGTACGACCAAGTGCATCCTCATTTCAATGACCACATCTCTTATAGGCTGTTCTCTGATCTTAGCTGACCATCAAATTCACGCCCACGCCGATATTTATACCCAACGGAGGAAGCAAGGAATGGCGCATAAATCCGAGAGACAGTTCCTTGGGATGGACGTGAGAGTAATCAGGACAAATTGGCAAGATAATGCAGAGGGTGAGTACAATCTCGATGGGCGTGAAGTCTGGGATTTTGACAATGAGTTTTACGAATTGAGCTTTGTGCCTGCGCCAAGATATTGGTTGCGAGAGTGCAGGTGTCAGGTAACTGGGAGCCTGACCTGTGACAGGCGAAGTGTATGTAATGAAAGTAAAGGATAACTCAGTGAAAACAACTTGATCCCTATTTCTCCCAAAATTCTAGGACTACATACACTGATCATGATCGACTTGATCTCTAAATACAGACTTGCGCTAGGAATAGAATAATCTGCCGCTCTAAATACAGAATGCAAGAACTGAGCGAAGCAAACATGTCACGTACGTGTGGACAATCCCTATTTTTGACCCGAGACATTAACCCGTCCAACTTCTTCCGTAGTTATTCTTAGCCATCCACGGCAGGCGACACTATAAACACTGCTGTGGCTGGATGGTGTGGTGGTACATCATCTTGGCCAGTCTTCCAAGTACAGTCTGGATAGCTAGGACATACATCTCACTCGAGACAGGAGATTGCTGATTCGAATCCGGAAAAACACAACGACATTTCTCGCGGTAGAAGCCAAGATGGATGAAGAACTCATGCTTGGATAATCAAAGCATTCGAATTTCCCTTTGATGGTTAATTATGGGGGAGAGCCGACTGTTTGTGTAAGCCAATATACCTCATAGTGGTATTTGCAAATGAAATCCAGAATATAGGTGTCTCTAACATTAAAAGAGTCATCCTACCCATACACATAGCACTGGTCATGTGTCATTGCTAAATAGCTGAATACACGTTAAATGATTTTAATCAATTTTTTGCAGCGGTACTTGAAAATGAAATCCAAGGCAGGAAAACTCTGCTTTTAAATTGAGTCATCTATTCTGTACTTTTTCAACAAAACTGTGTCATAGCTAAGTAGCAGCCGTATACACAATTTAAATTAGACATGACAGAAAGAGAAGAACCACATTTCAGCAGTGACCTCTAAAAACCTAAAGGTTGATTTTATTTGGGGTTTTAACATGGTCTTGAGTCACGGGCCATCTAGAATATTGGGCTCTTCTCTGATGCAGGCCATACTTTGTTCATTGCTCCTATCCTCTCTTGTTACCCAAAATATCTCCGATAGATTTCCCATGATGGATAGCCGTTTAGCTTAGAATCTGTCCGTCGAATTCAGCAAAATTTTCCATGGAAGCTTATATCCACACAAATAAAAATGCTAGCATGGAACACTGTTACCTATGTCTTACGAAGAGTCCTCCTCTTCAATGACATGGCAAATTTGCGGATTGGGATTAATATTGACCTGCATTAGAGAAGCTTTTAGACATAACCTGTCGAAGTACTAATAAAGGCTACTTGTCTTGCCTTTCGTCCCACGGCACTTTCACAACTTGTTGCGCTACATATTACGACGAAAATTAAGTGCTCCTATGAAAAAGGTCATATAATATCAGTCTCTATCTACTCATTGCATTGAAAGTACTCCTTTAATTTGTGAGAACAATCGTCTAGGAGAGATCCATGTCAATTGTTGATTCGTGTGTGCCAGGTTGATCCTACAGAATAGTTGTCTATCTTATACATAGATAATACTTTATCCAAAGGTCAATATAAAAAAATCAGAGGGATAGGTTTTATGCAATACAATGACCACTAACTCCAAGTAACTCCAGCAAGGAAAATAATTTCTACTCAGAGAGAAAATTGGAAGAATGAGAATAGGTGTCAAAAGTCATTCGCTAAAGTTGTGGCCTCGCCTCAACCTGGCCCTAGGTACAATAGCGTGACTACATGTGGTACGTGCACGTTAGAATAGAGTCTCTGCCCGTCCATAGATACTCTCTTCATAGCAAATCTGTATCTTTCATTTCTACATTAGAACTGCCTTCCTGCCACTTTTTCTTCTCGTAATTACTGAACTTTTTATCAAATTTTTTATTCACAATTCGTACCTTTACCAAAAGTGGATCCTAGTTTAGTTTAGTTTAATTTATCGTGCCAGGCTTACATCCTCCATCCAATGGACAAGACACGCATGGAGGACAACTAGAACACAAGTTCCTCCATTCTCCAGCAAAGCCCATCCGGTGCCTGAATTTTCCAAATACGTGCCTCACGCTAGTTACATCGGGTCGAATAGGTAAGAACGCATTCACCATGATCCTAAGACCATGTATTGAGGGAAAGCCTTCGTGGGAAAACCTCAATAATTCCTCCTGTACTCTTTCACGACGAGCAGCCGTAGTCCCCCCTTAAACAGGCCGTGTAGGAATCCAACCTACCACTTCTAGAAAGCACATCCAGCACCCGACTAACTGTGCCAACAGCCTGTTGAAAATCACATATCGTTCTTCCCCAATTCTCCCCTGCATTGCGCTCAACCCCCATTTGAGAGGGCTGAAATTCCGAAATCGAGAGCTCAAAACTGGGGCATCGGTGCCCCAACTTTTGTCGTACATTGTTCGTTGTCTGGGTGAGGCTTCTTCGTTCGCGCCGTCTTTGGAATGTGTCGAAAAGTTGAGAATGTTGATGTCGCGGTCGAGGTGCTTGTCTAAAATGAGGCCGAGCAATTGCTCAGTCCTGCGCACAATGTTAGTAAGGTTGAAAGCGAAAGGAATTTTACCTTTGATTTTGGTTGGTTGTTGGTGAGTCGTAAAGTCCTCCCAGTCAAACTCAATCGTGAAGTTGTTAGAAGACTGAATAGAAGAAGCCCAAATTTAAACTTTTGATCTATCGTGCCGGGAACGGAACCTAGCCCAGATGTCAATCGAAATCGACTGGGCCACGCTCAGCAAGCTGCCGTTGCGAAGGATGCGATTCTTCTTGGCTATCCCAGATATGCAGAGCATACTGAGCGATTACACCGGCACCACTGGAAGGTGAAGAATTCGTCTTTGCCGGCTGGGCCCTAGGTTTGCATCACATTAAAACATTAGCTATGAAAAAATTGTCTGATCTAATTTTCTATCGGTTGATTTGTTCAGATTTCCATTCATACAGTCTATTAACCAGTGAGATTACGACTTATATGCATTATAATCACCAAACGAGGGGTTATGTCATCTATTACTGTAAGATGTTTCGTCTGAATGTTAATTTTGAATAATTAATCCGTTAATCTACTAAATTTTGCATTGTATGTACAGTTTGAATTTTTCGATTAAATCTGAAATAAAGAAAGGTGGTTTCGGGATAAAGCCTTCATTCGTTTATAGATCTGAGGTTTTCTTGAAGTTCTATTAGAGGATGAAGCTTTATCACTCAGGGATACCGACCTTGCGTAGGTGGTTAGCGATTAGAAAACCCAGCTCCAGTGTTTGGTGTTCATTCAATCGAGGGTCGCAGAAGCTGGTGTAATTAAGAGACAAATCTTCGTCAATAAGCCCCTCACTGCCGCCAGTGCATTCTGTTACCATATCTCCAGTCAGTTCGAGATGAATACCACCAAGGTAGCTGCCCTGATCCTTGTGGATTTCAAAAGCCTGCTGCAGCTCAGAGAAAATATCAGAAAACTTCCTCGTCTTGACTCCTGTTACAGTAGAAACGGTATTGCCATGCATAGGATCGCATTGCCAAACAACACATTTGCGATACTCGCTATCTTCTACTGCTCTAATATGAGCCGGAAGGAGCTTTTTAACGTTGGAAGCACCGTAGCGGGTAATTAATGTTATTTTACCCACTTCTCTAGACGGATTTAAAGTTCGTAGTAAGGTTAGAAGGTCACTAGAGCTAGTCGAGGGGCCAATTTTAACGCCCAAAGGGTTTTGGATACCACGAAAGAATTCTATATGCGCCCCGTCTACTTGCCTTGTACGGTCACCAATCCATATGAAATGAGCAGATGTGTTGAAATAAGCCATGTTTTTATCTTCATTCGTTGAATCGGTCATACGTGACTGACATGGAGAAGGAAGCAATCGGGTCATTGCTTGCTCATAGTCAAGTAGCAGACCTTCGTGGCTTGTATAAAAATCAACGCTGGAAATTTCGATAGAGTTATCAGCACCAATCGTTCGCATAAAACGGAGAGAGTCAAGGATAGATTTGACAATTTGGGAGTACTTCTCTTTGAGCTGTAGATCGTGAACATGGCCGAGTTCCCAAGTAAGTGGTGTATGTAGGTCAGCGAATCCAGTAGATAGGGATCCTCGGATGAAATTGAGCGTACTGGCTGAGTGAAAATATGCCCTATAAAAGGTCAAAACTTTTTCCAAAAGAAGGGGTCATTATATACTCCACAAGGCGTTGTGGATCTAAATTTCTTTCCTCCACGCTATAGCCGTTGAGAATATCCCCTCTGAATGAAGGTATTTCTTTACCGTTGACAATTTCTGTTGGGCTAGATCTAGGCTTTGCATACTGACCAGCCATACGTCCAATTCTAACGACGGGCTTGTTTGCACCATATGTTAGAATCATGCTCAATTGAAGCAGAAGCTTTATCTTCGATTCAATAGCATTTTGCTCGCAGTACTCAAAGAGTTCGGCACAATCCCCACCTTGAAGCAGGAAAGCTTCGCCTAGTGCAACCTTTTTTAATTCTTGCTTTAGCTTCAGAATTTCACCAGGCTGAACGATCGGGGGTAAACGAGCAAGTTTCGAAAGGTATTTCTTAACGTCAGGGGTATTTTGGTAGATAGGCTCCTGTTTAATTGGCTTCGTCTTCCATGAGCTGGGCGACCAATTTGCGTGGTCAGTGCAGTCAGAAATGTTCATGGAGGACATCGAATTTTTTATAAAAGCGTCCTGTAACCCGAGTATTTCTTGTGAAGGTCAGTCTCGCGAAATCAATTTGTTTTGAGGTAGAAAGCAAACTAGGATCTGAAACATTTGGAAATAAAGCGGAAAACTACCTGTATTGCATGTAATGAAGGAATTCAGAATAAATTGAACATTAAAGATGTATTTCTGAGTATTTTCAATAAACTGTACTATTGTTGCATGTTTTCACCGCAGTGGCGATATGATGTGGCAAGGGCACATTGGATTACGCTTGGTCTAGAGGTCTTATTTTGTATGTAGCTCATAGCTCCGGTTGGAGGAGAAGGCATAACACCCATCAGTGGTGTAACCTGCGAAGCTGCAGGTTAAAACTATCCCCAGACCTGAGATTCAGTCACGACAAAAGGTGAATCTGAGGGGTTTCGTTAAAGTGGCGACATGGAGAATCAGTGCTGGCAAGCACTTTATCGAAAATCCGACATGCAAGGATTTCGCGACTGCACGATTTAACGAGTTCAATCAATAACACCCCAGATAAAAACAACAAAGGTGATGAAAAATATCTGATTTTTGATTTTAAACAACTGAAATCCTTGACTATCTCGAATTTCCTTGAAAAATTATTCCCAACAAAATTCATGTTGCGACCTTCTCCAAAGTCATCTCACCACCTGTTAAAAGATACTAAAAACAGTTTCCAGCGAGTGCATCCCAAACATGAATTATGGTGTATTAGCAACCATGTTTGTAATATCTTATGCCTGAGGCACATAATAGTCTGTGCATTTGTAGCTAGATAAACATCTACCTTAGTTAGTATACACAAATCACCTTAAATGATATTGGATTTTTCACCACACGTATTGTTAATTATTAGCCCGCTCTTACTGGAGGGCAAGACTGAACACCTGTACGCGGTGTCATCTACGAACCTGGGAGTGAAATATTCTCCCAGAGCCAAGTTCAGTCAAATTTCGCAATATCAAAGAAGTTGGCCCACGAGGCAAAATTTAAAATTACTCCACCACGTCGTTTTTCCGCTCCCAACGAGTTTGACGCCTTCCTAAGTCCCATCAAGTCTACAAGTACGACCTATTACATCCTCATCCCTGTGACCACACCTCTCTTCGACCTTCTCTGATCTCAGTTGACCACCAAATACACGCCCACGCTGATATTTATACCCGACGGAGGAAGCAAAGCGTGGAGCACAAATCTGGGAGATAGCTCTTTGGGATGGACGTGAGAGGGACCAGGACAAGTTGAAAAGATGATGCAAAGGAAGGATATAACCTTGAAGGGAGTGAAATTCCGAATTTTGGCAAGCAGTTTTACGAATTGAGCTTTGTGCGCGCCAAGACTTCGCTTGTGAGAGTGCAGCTAACACTATAAAAATAAGCCAACGATGGAAGGTGATGTGGTCCGCCTCCTGGTGGTGTTCTCTGGTATGGTTTGAGTAGCCTGGGCACCTACTCCACTTGGGAAAGAGACACCTCAGATCACATATCGCGCGGAGAAAATTTGAAAGATGATGGAGGCATGTCTGGATAACTAAGGGTTTTTGAGACGTTCCCATGAGTGGGTATTCACGGATGAGGGTTGACTTGGGGTGAAGAAAAAGCCACCATAACTTCGCAGTGGTACTTGCAAATGAGATCTGAGGCATGAGTGCTCTTCATTTATGTTGAATCATCTATTATGTAATTTTCTTCGATATTGCGTCATAGCTAGATAGCTGCATACGAAATTAAAATCTGATGCAAAAAAAAAAAGCCCGCTCTTACTGTCTAAGCAACATACCCAGAAATATCTACAGCCTGAAGCTAATGCTCCTAACTGATATTTATTATTTAAGTTCAGTATTTTAACACCACCTACCAGAGCTATCCATAATCTAAAGTCATTGTAGGTATCTAAGAAACAGGAAGATATTCACCCCGTCCCAAATACCATGGGCTATGAAGGTTCGGTCGAAATACCGGCCTGACATTCATTTGTATCTCGGATGATGGCATCACTAACTCGAACTGTATAGATGAGCCACCGGCATGAAATATACGACACTTCGCCAGTACTTCAACCAACGCGTTCGACCAAGGCCAAGGAATCAATGCTTGAGACGTGAGTTCTTCGATGTCTATTCGGCCTCCACTTTTCGGGGTACGGCAGCAACGGAAAAAGACAGTAGAAATAGAGTTTCTACAAAGTTCTTGAGGTAAAGATATCGGCAGAAGAATAATGAAAGCTTTGTGTGCGTGATGTTTTTATCGCACCACTGGAGTCATAGACTATCTAGCACATTGGGCTCCTCTCTGGTCCAGGCCACACCTTGTACAGTGCTCCTATTTTCTTTTGTTACTTGAAATATAATAGATATATTACCCGTGATGAATAGCCAATCAGCCTAGTGTTTACCCATGGAATTCGGTCACCTTTTTCACGGAACCTTCTACCCAAAAAATTTAAAGGTAGCATTGGAAACTGCGTGCGCCGCAAAAAGTCTCAAAAAACCTGCAGCCACAGCCAGGCGAGGCTTAGACACCGGGACCACATGAGGTGCGCATATTCATCTACATCTCCCTTCTTTGTAGCAGTCGAGGCCGACTTGATCCAATCCGCCATCTCCGTATCGGGTGCTGGGTACGCTCCGGAAACTCATCGGATGGCTTTTCCTCCGTGATCAAGGTTTGGTGATGAGTAGAGCTCTGACCCTACCGTCTGATCTGATCATGGGTAGCTTCATTATAACGGTGATAGGGGGAATGTGTTGAGAGATGAAGACGATACAGATCGCGAAAGCGATTCGGAATCCTCGTCGAAGTGAGGACTTTGTTACTCAATCTCGGCTCTGCAGACTCTACAGTGAGAGCTGGAGGTTTGCATGGGACGCCACTGACACATTTTGAGAATAGTCCACCCATAAGGAAAGCTTTAATGGAAGAAAAAAAGGGAAAAATACTAAAAAGGCCTCAGTGGCTAATTACATGAGGCATCTAAAGAAGAAAACAACTCCTAGATGTGATGAGGAGATGCTGGTATAGGGCGTGAATGGGACTGGAAAGAAAGGAAAGATTAGACACGAGGAGGGCTTGAGTGTGCATGTGTTTATTGTACTACTTGGGTCATAGACTATCTAGCACATTGGACAGGAGGGTTTCAAGGGTTCGGGCGCGTGAGTGCGAGTCTGAGACTGTTAAGCAAAACTGGATTAAGATGGAGTTCTCTCAGAGTAGACTGAACTCATTCATTGTCCACCCAACAAAGAGACTATTTATGTTGGAATTACTACGGGGTGGTTTCACGATCGATCCTAAAGATTCAGTAACGAGTTGTACGATTCTGTTTTTGTTTTTTATATTAAAGTCCTTAACCAAAGCTCTAGGTCAACTATTGGTACAAGACTGGTGGAGCCGGCGGGGATCACTGCTTACAGGCCCAACTAATTCCAACAGCTGGACTCGCTACAGAAATAGTAGGGAGTAAATTACAATGCAGACAACCTCTACTCCAACTCCTAAATCAAAAATCACTACTTTTCCCCCTAATTCTAAATTGCTGCAGTCTTTCCTGAGAGAATCGACACTTCTCGCCTCGTTCCCTTTCGTGTCATGCGTTGTGGCAATGACTAGTTCATCTGATCCCCGCTGAGAGCAGTGGATGAGTGGGCAGGTTAGCTATCAAAACAGCCGGTCTCCTCCGCAAATATTTTGAAGCTATCGTGGCACTTGGGCTCGAGAAGCTTTTTGATAAAGTCAGTGTGGGACATTGACTTTCTGAGCCTACGCGTTTGTTGTGCGTGACGGCTACAGTGGATGAAGTGGGTTGGAGTAGTTTCCTTCCCGCAAGAGCACTCCATAAGAGCATGTGGATTATTAAAACGGCGATGGTATGCCGCAAAATAGCTGTGACCCGTTCGTGCTGCAATTAGTTCACGAAGCAGGTGCCTAGAGAGAGACAGTTCGGGTGGTTTACGTCTCCGCACATGTAGGTTGAGTTGGCGGTATTTAGGCGGACAGGCCTCTTCCCACCAGTCGTCTAGCAGCCTCTGTCATCTGCGATTCGTGAGACCACGTAGATATGCTAGAGTACATGATACTGGTGGTGTCTCCTGGCTAGGTAACTCTCGGAGGGCGGCACGGGCAATGGTGTTTGCCTCATTGTTCCCTTGTCTCCCTGCGTGCCCTGGCACCCATTTTACCAATACTGTCTGATTATAGTTCTGTACTATATCACGTGACTTATTTTCGTAACATTTCCTTATATAGAATTGCGCTGGGAATAAGAAATTGGCTCCCCAATGTAATTATTAGTTGTTACTTAGGAGGGAGGGAGTTTGACAGGAATTGATTGATACCAATATTGTTATAACAAGCTTGTCACGAAACCCGTCCACTTGAAGTATTACGACACTGATCAGTAGACGTACTGATCAGATACATCTTGTGAAGAGAGATTCAATCATTCAGTCCCTGACAAAGGCCTCGGCTCGATTGCGTTTGCTAAGGAGTATAGATTCGATAGTTGACCCCTTCCGTAAGGTCCTTGATTTCAAATATATATTCAAGGATTTGACCCCTTTCTCAAGGCTCTCAATTCCTCGTCCAACACGCAAAAAATAAGCTCTTGAATAATCAAACAAATATCGACCCCTTCCGTAAGGCCCTCGATTCTGCATATTATTTCAACAGCCCGAATTCATACGACCACATTTTCTACTTTCATCATCATCAACCTTCGCAAAACCTGAATTCAAAATACTCGACTCGTATACAGATTCCAAGTTATCTACAGGCGGATCACGACCCTCAACGAGATCACAATCAAAGCAGACGGCGCTAGATAAGGAAGCAGAAGCTAGGCAGCAGCAGATTAACAAATTTATCGAACAGAAAGTCAATGATTACATAAATTTTAAGATCAAAGATGATAACCTCTGGGAGGCTTTCAAGGATGATTTTATATCTTTTGAAGAGGATGATTTCAATGCTGCCTCTCTCGTCTAC